TAGTTTTCAAAGGGGGATATTTGAATATGTATTACATCATCTGAATCTAGGCTTCAACTACCATAGAATAGTAATGTGAAAAGGTTTTGTATTTTTCTAAATTCCAACTAGGGATGTCAACGAGACCCCACGAGGACGGGGAATCCCTTTCCATCCCCGTCCCTGCGAATGACGGTGACAGGGATCCCTATGGGGATTTTTGCAATGGCAGAGTTTGCCCCCCATCCTCGTTCCACATGGGGATCCTCATTAATCACCAATTAATATCAAAATACAAATTTTTTACTTATAAGTAATCAATATTCAATTATAATGAATAAAAATCTAAAAATTCAAGTATAATTAACTAAAATTCTTTAAATATAAAATCAAATATAAATTGTCCAAACATAAATAGAGATCAAGTCAACATAAATAGCTTAATCAACAAACTTGTTGATGATGGGTTGGGTTAATTTTTATGGGTTGGGTTAGGTAAAATTTGGTTAAGTTTAATTTTTATTGGATTGAGTTTGGGTTTAAAGATTGAATTAAATTTAAAATAAAATTAATTTACATATATTTGTTAATTTTTTGTGAGGATGGGGATCCCTGCAGGACAGGGAAAATTCCTCACGAAATTTTGCGGGGGAAAAATACCCCTCGTCCTCGCTCGTGAGAAGGAATATTCCTTTCGGCCTTGTTCCCATGACAAGGATCCCCATGAAATCTTACGAGGATCGAGGCAAATTGCCACTCCTAATTCCAACTAGTCAACCTTAGTCAATATGAATGTTGTTTATTAAAACAATTTTGTAAGTTACTTTTGACTTTGTGAAAGTGTTGACTGATGGATGATTACTTTTGACTTTGTGGAAGAGTTGGTTGATGGATGATTTTCCCCAGTTGCCTTATGTTGATTATTCAAACAGAGAAGGAAGCTGGCCATTTAATTAAGTTATGAATCCATATAATATTATTTTTCCAAATTCCAACTACTTAACCTATAACGTCTTGGGCCAAAAGGCCTCAATAGGATGGTGGTGGTATTGACTACCACCTAAAATTTTTCAAAAATGTTTTTATTATATATGAAAATATAAATGAAAAATTAGGTGTGAAAAATGAAAAAGAAAGGAGTTGTCACTTGTTTGAATTATAAGTTAAGATAAATCACCTAAAACATGATTTGCACAAAAATTGGGGTCTAAGGATACAATTAGCAGTGAGAAATGGCATATACATACTTCATAATCCTATGTGTAAAAAAACATGGTTGCATACTTTAACATTTGAAAATTTATTCAACTTTTTATTTTAATTTATTTTTTTTTTGTTTCGATTAAGTGAACTTAAAAAGTAAATGGATGAAACTATGAAGCTTGAAAATACTTGGATTTGGTTGAGCAAAATCAAGGACATCCATGCACAATTGCAACAAAATTAAAAGTGGAGGAACTGATTTGATTAAATTTGAAACATGGAGGACTAATTTAAAAAGATTTAAAATTTCTAAACTAAATTGCTTGATTTCAAAAAGTTTTGGACAAAATTAACGTTAAAATAAAGATGATTGATTTTTTTAACCCGAACACTCAAAATAAATGTAATTAAGCTTGATTGATTAAGAATTAATTAAAATTAATTAAATTATTAATCGAATTAATCAACCTTTATCTAAATAATTAACTAAATCTAAATATTCTAATCAAATGCAATTAAATCAATTAATTATTTAAATTAGGATTAATTAAGAACAAACCAATTTTCATTTTTATATTAAATTAAATGTGATTATATTTACATTTATTAATTTTTATCAAGATTCTTCTTTTCTATATTTTGGTCCATAATTCTGGCATTGAGTTAACTTGACCCATAAACACAATTCCTTAACCAAAACAGGTAAAACCATATCAAACTTAAAGTTCAAAAGTTGGGATTTTAGGGTTCTATTCGGATAAATTCAATGGAAAAAAGCTACAACCAAACAAGAGAAACTAAACAAACCTAGTATCAAATTCTTT